AGAGAGAGAGAGAGAGAGAGAGAGAGAGAGAGAGAGATTGAGATCAGCCTGACCAACATGGTGAAACCCTGTCTCTACTAAAAATACAAAAATCAGCAGGGCTCGGTGGCACATGCCCGTAGTCCCAGCTACTCAGGAGGCTGAGGCAGGAGAATCCCTTGAACCCAGGAGATGGAGGTTGCAGTGAGCTGAGATCATGCCACTGCACTCCAGCCTGGTGACAGAGCAAGACTCTGTCTTAAAAAAAAAAAAAAAAATTTAAATTCTTAGAAGTGAATAATAATAAAACTTCTATACATTTGAAAACCTCTACAATGCAGTCTAACAGTACATGTATAGAAAAATGCATAGGCTTAAGTGATTACATTTGAAAATAAAGGCTGGGTCAGGCGGGGTGGCTCACACCTATAATCCCAGCACTTTGGGAGGCTGAGGTGGGCAGATCACTTGAGATCAGGAGTTAAAAAAAAAAGTCTGACCAACATGGTGAAACCCCATCACTACTAAAACACAAAAATTATCAGGGTATGGTGGCGGGTGCCTGTAATCCCAGCTACTTGGGAGGCTGAGACAGGAGAATCACTTGAACCTGGAAGGCAGAGGTTGCACTGAGCCCAGTTGTGCCACTGCACTCCAGCCTGGGCAACAGAGCAAGACTCCCTCTCAAAAAATAATTTTGAAAAAAGGCTTAAAATTATTGAGCTAACTGTCGAACTTTACAAATATATTGAAAGAATCAAGTCAAAGGAAAGATAAACTTGAAGAAAAAAATCTGTAAACAGATTTTAATAAAATAGCAAGACAAGCAAAAGTTGAAAGTTGGTTCCTACGTTAACAAAATCGGTAAACTTTTATTAAGACTCAACAATAAGCCAGAAAGATCACCTGAGTCCAAGAGTTCAGACCAGCCTGGGCAACCTGGAAAAACCCCAACTCTACAAAAAACTAGGCAGGTGTGGTGGCAGCCTCTACTCAGGAGGCTGATATTGGAGGATCATCTGAACCCAGGGACTTTGAGGTTGCAGTGAACTGTGATCATGCCACTGTACTCCAGCTTGGGTGACAGAGTGAGAAAAGAAGGAAGAAGGGAGAAAGAAGAAGAAGAAAAGGAAAAGGAAGAGGAAGAAGTAGAAGAGGAAGAGGAAGCAGCAGCAGCAGCACCAGTAGTGGCGGTGGCAGCAGTGACAGCGCAAGTAATAGAGTGAAAAGATACAAGACAATTTAAAGATAAAACAGAAAATAACCAGCTGTTCTTCCTGTGGAGTAGCCACTCTTTTGTTTATTTACTTTCCTAATAAACTTGCTTTCACTTTACTATATGGATTTGCCTCAAATTCTGTCTTGGACAAGATCCAAGAACCCTCCTCTGGGGTATAGATTGGGACCCTTTCCTGTAATATCTTTCTGGTGAACCACAAAGGGATGATACTGAGAACCCCAACCCAAGGGAAATAGACTGCAGCACCAACTGGCTGACTTTGGGGGTGGCTAATGGCAGTAAGGGGGAATACACAGCTCTCTGCACCTCTGAATCCGAGAAACATGCTCCTGGCCCCCAGGCTGTGCCTGATTACTAGGCCTTAGAAACTCAATGCTTTCCTTGCTCTGTTCCTCCAAGGGCTCTATCTTGAAGCCAGTAATCTAATTAAGAAACTGGCAAATGAAAGACCTTACAACTGATGGATCTCCTATCTATCTATTCATGTGTTGTGTGTGTGTGACATGAAAGAGCTTTAATTCATTAAAAATAAGTGCTTCTGGCTGGGCACAGTGGTTCACGCCTGTAATTCTAAGCACTTTGGGAGGCCAAGGTAGGTGGATCACTTAAGGTCAGGAGTTTGAGACCAGCCTGGCCAACATGGTGAAACCCCATCTCTACTAAAAATACAAAAACTTAGCTGGGTGTGGTGGCTCACATCTGTAGTTCCAGCTATTAGAGAGGCTGAGGCAGAAGAATTGCTTGAACCTGGGAGGCACAAGTAGCAGTGAACTGAGATTCTGCCACTGCACTCCAGCCTGGGCAACAGAGGGAAACTCTGTCACCCACTAAAAAATCAAAATAAAATTGAATAAATGTGTCTATAAGGTTTTATTAAGAATTGGGTTTCGGCCGGGTGCGGTGGCTCAAGCCTGTAATACCAGCACTTTGGGAGGCCGAGGCGGGTGGATCACGAGGTCAGGAGATCGAGACCATCCTGGTCAACATGGTGAAACCCCGTCTCTACTAAAAATACAAAACATTAGCTGGGCATGGTGGCGTGTGCCTGTAATCCCAGCTACTGAGGAGGTTGAGGCAGGAGAATTGCCTGAACCCAGGAGGCGGAGGTTGCGGTGAGCCAAGATCGTGCCATTGCACTCCAGCCTGGGTAACAAGAGTGAAACTCCGTCTCAAAAAAAAAAAAAAAGAATTGGGTTTCACACATCAATAGTGGACAAACC